TAGGGAGAAAATGGCCAAATTATGCTGTAAACAGCTGATGGCCGTGGCCGCGTCGCGAACCTTGGCCGCCTAGTCAAGCGCCCGGATGACGACTAAGTTCGTCGCTTCGTACATTGTTACGTGCACATCACATATGCCTTCTGCCAGTTGAAGAAAGAGTCCGCTTGTGAGGGATTTTGGAGGTCGGGCCTTGTTCTCTTTTTGAAAAGCGCAGAAGGCACGCCACAAATCTGTGATTTGGCCCCACACTGGCTCGCGGTGTTGTCGTCACAGTCGTAGATACTGGCAAATAGCTGCGTTATCATAATAATTGGTAGCGCTGTCAGCTGTAAACACATTACAGGAGAAGAAAGCCGATTTCCTGAAGGTACCAACGAGAAATTATCCGCACGCACTGCTCTCGCCGGCATTTCACTATTCTAAGGCGCCTTTGAAGGGATAGAGGCGGATCGGAAATGCATTTGCTACTTAACTGAGACCTCAAGGCAAAAAGCTTTTTAAGCGATTTTCAAAAAGCTTTCTCGAGGCAAAGCAGAGAGCTTTTTTAACAATGCACCTCCTGCTTTGGTTGATTTTAAGGCGACAGGTGAAGATTCGTTGGGAAAGACTGGACAAAAAGGGCGAGAGAGCGCACGAAAGAGCGAGACGTTAGACTTTGCGTGGGCGGAGTCACTTGCACTGAGGTAGCTACTTGGTGGACTGCACTCCTAGCCAGCAACTTTTTGGCGCAAAATTGGTACAAGCTACCAGTTGTGGGCCGCACTCTTTTCTCCAGCTTTCATTCTTTTAAGAAATCGTGTAACGTGTCCTTAGGTACGTCCAAACAGGATAGCTGAACTTTCTTGTTCATGAATTTCTCGACATCTGTTTGTGGACCGTAACAGTATAACACCAAAATGCCCGCCATTGTAGGCTGCACTGGCACTGGAGCTAGAATGGGCGCAGTTTTACGGAGGGGCATTTTGCACTTCGTTGCTTCACTAGTTCTGGTTACAAGTCTCACTCTGGTGAAACCTGTGAACTCTTGTGAAGCTGGAGCAAGCTCGTCAAGCCATCATGGTAAAACCTGTCAACTCGAGAAGAGGCTGTCTAGATGGGTCGACACGTCGATGGGAAGTCGTTGAAAGTGCAAAATGCCCCCCCCCCCGTCGGCAAACAGCGCTCCCAAAATTAATCATCTTCAAAGTGCATCATGTTGTTTAAACCCAAACAGTGTTTCCGGATACAACACAGGTCCCACTACACAATGGCCCCACCACGTCAGGTATTAATGGCGAAACAGCTATGAGAAGATTAGGGTTTCATTACAATGCTGAAATGTACCAACAGGAAAGGATCACAATCAAAGCCGGCACGGGCACGCTGAACATTATTTCTTGTCTTTTTATTCCTACAGTCATAACACGGTTTCCACCAACTCATCATACACCCCTCATAACCTCCTTACGACCCCCTTCCGGAACCCCTTCGCGTACCAGCAGGGAATTTCGATGTGTAGCAACTGACGCTTAAGGCCCCTCATCCTACCATCTTTTTAGGCCTCCCACCAAAGAAGACCTCTTCATATATGCTCAATTATATCCAAGAAGCAAGGTACTTGTTTCTTACAATGAGTAAGCGTAAAGTCATTGCAGTCACTATGACCGTCCATGCAGTTAGCTTGACATGTCTCGTTTCGCTACAGCGACTCCCAAAACCCATATCATCACATATACCTTCTTCCCCCCCCCCCCCCCCCTGCCAAATGCGCCACGATCAGTTTTAGCGCCGTTCCCTGTCCGAATACTCCTCTTAGCTTTGAGTGCAATGAAGTGCCTTTTAAGCCCAGGTCCATCTAAAGGCAGACGCCCACTTGCTGCTCTATACCAGAAGCCAGGGGCGGTGAGAAATTTCATTGGCTGTAGGAGCCATTTGGAAGCGCAGCAAAAGCTCGGGGCAGAGTTGACTGTCCCGAATTAGTGCTGAGTTGCTTTGAGCCAGTTGCTGCAAAACGCGGGACATTTGGCCAACTTTGGGGCGTAACCTATTTATGGGCGTGGTCTCAGATTCCGATAGACCCATGTGAGCTCTATGAGCCTGACCAAATTGTCATACCACCCCTCTCCTAGCGTTGGTCCTCTTAGCGCAGTGATTCATTCAATAGAAGCATATCCATTCAGTTTTATATCTGGAAAGGTTCCGCCAATTAGAGACTCCATTAATATTAATTATTCTCAGGCTTTCCAACAAATTTCTTGAAAAATTCACTGATTGCTCAACCGGTAACCAGTTGTCAGTTCCAGTGCATTGGAAATTTTTTTGCTGGTCCGCGCGGTAACGTGTTGAAATATGGATTTCTTTGCAAAAACCAATTGCAACATTACCACCCAATTTTGATTTAAATACTGGATCAAACTCGTTTTCGAATGGAAGTGGTAGTCTGGAAAGTTTGCTCTGTCATCTGTAAAACGTCCGAAGATGGATTTTCGCTCCTGATCGGGGGCTCTACTGTGAAAGTTCACGGATTGTTCAACCGATAACCAGTTGTCAGTTCCACTTCAGCCCTACACTGGAGATTTTTTAGGGGTCCGCGCGATATCGTGTGAAATATGGGATTGGTCACTACAACTTCCTTCAACAGAAAATGCCTACAAATTCTTAATTTACTTTATATTTTACCTATTTTTATCATCTGTAAACTATGGTATTTTCTTCTTTTGCTGAGCGACACTCCATTTCATCCTTCTCCGTTTCTTTCAGTATGCTGGAGCTCAAAACGTACACTTTTTCATGACGGCCCATGCAACGCGTCCTATGGACGCAATATATATAGACAAATAAACAACTAAATAAATAAGTAAAAAATAAATAAATATCTAGATAAATAAATAAATGAATAAATAAAGCATGAACAGAAGAACCAGTTCATCTTCACTGCACTGGCAGATGGCTATTCATTGGCGAACGCAATGGTTAGGTAGCCCCACTCGCCACTTTGGAAATTCAAGTTTTCGGAGGTCAAGTAAAAGTAGCGTTAGTGAAGAAACTTCAGAAAAGGTTAAGAGCTATTTAAACTTCTGAATTGAGTCACTATTTGTCCCAAATTTATCATAAAAATCTGTAAGTGAGTTTACCACTCTGAATGGAAGTCAAAGTCGTGGCGTAACCCAGGAGGTCTGAACCCGGCTGTCAAATGCTGCCTTTGTGGCCAAACTGTAGAAGCGAACGTGTAAAAAGGCGACATTCACATTCTCGAAGACTTTAAGGGAATCAATAAATCAGGAAGGTGGAAGAATTCAGTACGACCCCAATTTGTTACTAAAAGTGCTCAAAAAGTACAACTTTGACCACCACCATTTAGTTCCTGAAACAACCCCATTACACTCCCTTCTAGATAACACAATTGAAAAGTATCTGTCTCTTGTATGCTTTAATCTCGCTACCCCACGCCGCGTTCAGCGAACGTCAGCCTTCCGATTTCCGACTTTCGACCTTGTTATCCAGTGGTATGAACTACGTTTTCTGAATACGCCATTCCTCGCTCCATTCGACCGAACCTGCATTTCGAAGACTTATGATCTTTCTGTACAGGGAGCTGTTATAAAGCCCTGTAGCGTATGGGCACAAATGACGCTAAACATATCCCTTCTTATCCCTGTTTATCCCTGCTGCAAGATTCTCTACGAAGCCAAGAAGAAAACCCTACGGGGATTACGAACAATTGCAAAACGGAGCGCGGCAGCAGTTTCTCCGCACGATCAAGTGGCGTCGATGGTGGTGGCGGCGGACAGTTTGCGATTTTATCCAAAAGTGGGCGTGTCAAGTTTCCATTACCACTCAACAGACCCACGCCCACGTTGCTTCTTCAGACTCGTCTGCCGTTCATTTGTGCCCTCTGATCGGTCCCTCTGACCCCTACAGTTGCTGTTAGAGGGATAGTGGGCTGTCAGTGCAGATAACTTGTTACTGAACATGCACTTGGCAGTTATACTGCTATCGCTGATCTCGTCTAGTTTTGCACAACTTTTCAGTAAGTTGTTCTGAAGTGTTGACTTTCGGGGATACACTCTCTGAAATTTTTATTTAGAACCGTGCGGCTGTGAGAAGACATTCAAACCTGTTTGCGGTACCGATGGAATTACATATGATAACCTTTGCGCTTTAGAGTGTAAATCGCAGTACGGTAAGCATCTTTCATTGATTTATTACGCTGTTTACTACTCTTTTATTCCAATTTTTCATTTATTTCTTTGAAACTGCTACTGGTAGATCGCTTTGACTTCTGATTACCTAGCCCTTCTTAGTTTTTACGAGTTGTTTCCAGTTCTTCTGAACGTCTTTCACAAGTTACCCATGTGAACAATTTAGAAGCTTGCCAGAGAGTAACTATATTTCGAAAACTGTTAAATGGCTTGTGATTTCAATAACATTCTTGAGTTACTACGAAAGAACTTCATTTCAACCTGAATTTGATCCTCTACTAGTCTTCATGCCGTGTGTGAGGTAGCGTAATCCACTCATACCGACTGAGCAGGTTTCCATTACCGGTCAACTTACTCACTTCTAGCACTTTCAAGCCATTTCTCGGTTACTAAACTGCTTCCGAAACTTTCTTTGTTTTCTTGAGGATCTCCATGGGTCCCTATTGCAGCAAAGCCAACAATAGCGTCATTCCACCTCGAACTCGACTACGAGCTGAGTCAGAGACCGAGCAAGAGTTCTCTTCTCTACTTGAAGAGCTTGGCCCATCGTGATTATGTACTTTGTCTCCAATAGACCTGCACTCACAAACGCCTCATAAATCGGTCAAAGGGAAAGCCAGTAGGCTAGACACCTCTGGCCAGCTATCAGAAATAGTACTATTGCACTGCCTACAAAGGGCACATACCGTTCGTGAACTGGAAAAAATCGGCAAAAGAAAATTTCATCAGGTCGTTAACCACCTCAACCTACCCTTTGGCTAAGTACGCTCCCGCGCAGAGGATTTTTAGACGAAGCCCATGGCTCGCGAGCCCCAGGCTTGACAAGATAGGGATGATTCGCATGAAGAAGGGGGAAACGAATTTCGCATCAAGAGGGGGAAACGAACTATCTGCGTTTTGAATGGTTCTTTTTATACATTTCCTGTCCATTTTTTTTCTCATAATATCATCCATCTCGACTCTTTTTTCGCTTTCACCGGCCTCATAACTCAATGATCTGATAGCTTTCGAAAATCAAGGATTCTTCATTTATCCCTTCGGATTTGGCTTTTACTTCAATTACCTCTGCTTTGGTTGACGAGTAAGTTTCCGATGTCGGAAAGCCGTGTGATAGCATTGCCCCATGTGACAATTCGTGGACATAAACATTCGTAGTCTAATTTGAGCGAGGACCTTGACAACCTGTTTGCCTATTGTTACTTCCGCTTTTGTGATTTGCTAATCATTTACATATTTTATTTTGATTATTGTTTCACCACTAAACGAAGTGCCTGCCGGTACTCAAAAAGCGACTGTTTCTAAATAGGTGCTGGTCGGCTTGGGAGGGGCACTATTCCCATTTGCTTTTGACGAGCAGGTCTCACTTTGGTGGAACCTTAAGCTCCTGTGAAGCTGCGGAATTGTAGAATTGTAGAAGTGTAGGTTACAATAATTACAGATTTTACCAGGTGACCTGTACAGGCTTCGCTGAGTACCATTTGGTGACCTTACCAAACCGAACTCTGCCCGAAAGACTTCAAACCGGGACTACATGTGCTTCGAGTGTATGTAATTCATGTCAGTATTTTGAGAGCATGAAGGGTCCATTGCTGCCTTTGGGCACAGTTCGGCGATGGTACAGCATCGTTGTATGAAACACGTAGGGGGAGGCTGGGTCGTATATTCCTTGGGACAGAGGGGGGGGGGGGTCGTATGTGCTTTCATGAGGAATTTGTTGTGCTGGGAAAGATTTTTCCGGTTGTGACTTTTCGCTCGATTTTTCCTGTTTTATGTGTACCCCCCCCCGCTCAATGGAGAATCTTTGGGTGAAAACTGGAAAATGTGGAAAATTGGTAGGTAGGTGTCAGGAAGGGGGGGGGGTCGTACCTACACCACCATTTCACACATCACGATGCTGTAGCCTGCTAGAGAAGCAACGATAGTACGAAATGCCCCCGTCGCCAAACTGCAACCTCCCCTTGTCATACTAATTGATGTCGTAAGACAGGACTGACTAGGGAAGTCCGCCAACTTTCCAAGGGACTTTGAATGAGACCTGGGTAGATCGATAGAGCCTATAAGATTACTTACAAATGCAGATGAACCACCACGACTCGATTCGACGTATGCGATTCCTCGCTTATGCTTCACAGCTCACCACCAAGCCTCCACCCTACTGCACCATTACAAACTTTACCTGCTCATAAGTTGCTTGTGAAAGGTTGCAGTTTTGCTATCTATATTTGTAAATAACCTTATAGACTCTATCGATCTACCCAGGTCTCCATTCAAAGTTCCATGGTAAGTTGGCGGACTTTCCTGGTGAGTAATTGTCTTTACTGAGTTCTGAACCTTGTGATGAGCTAACAACCGTTGGCGGCGCATGATAAGCGTAAGGTATCGGAACACGTTATGTGTGATAGGAAAAACAAGCCGAGAACGAGAACATCTGGCTTGACTGACTGCCCGAGAAGCTCCTATTGTCATCTATCCCAAGACCACCCTCAAATATCCCATAATATCCCGTTTTGTACCGAACCCTTTTGAATATTTCAAGAGAAAGGGGACGGGTCGATTTCGTTAGAGATATATATGTACAACAAGAATGTCAGCCGTGAAAAAAAATGCATTTAATGCGTCGTTGAATCCGAATAATCATCCTTTCGCCTTTTTCTCCATTTGAAAGGTGATTTCTTCAAGTGACTTTTTCATGTGAAAAGCGCCGTTTAAAAGGGATTTCTTGTGAATCGCGCACAGTTCAACGTGTCGGGTAGTTTTTGTTGACTAGCTGGACTTTATTTCGGTCGATGAACAGGTTCTATGGACCGTGAAGCGAGGATCGATCATTCTTGGATTCAGAACGCCATTCAACTAGAGCCTACCCCTTAGCTGAACTGAACTTCCACATAAAGGATGGGATGAGGCTGTTGCATTGGCTAAACCCAAATTGGAATACTCCGTGCACTACACTCACATTCAAAATCGTGGTAGCTCTTGAAGGCAATTTGGAAAGACACTCCAAGGTGCTAGGGCCTTTACAGCTTCCTTCTTTCGGAAGTAGACCATGGAATTGCTGCAATGATCTCGGTGAGGACCAATTGGGGCTGAGTGACCCGGGAGACCTGCTGCGTTCCTGAGAGTGGCAGACGATAGAGAACAAGAAAATAGAAAAACGGCTTTTTGAAGAAGACATTACAAGAAGCAAGGTGGTTGCCTTCCCCTCAGGAGAAACATTTGCTATTTCTTTATCCCCAGATTGACCAATGAAGTCATTGCAGAAAAGGAAATGTTGCAAAAAAATGAAGGCAAACTGGTTTGTGTTGCAATCTTCCTGCATAAGTTTCGTCCCAGATGAATTAGTGTTCCCCCACATGAGTTTACTTAAGATGGTCGCAGGGCAGATTACGGTAGATTCTTGCCAACGTACAGAACAAAAGTAGGGATGATATGATATGCTGCAAAACGATACCAGTTCGTTTTGAAAGGCAGCGGAGCACTGAATTGTTGAATCAGTACAATCAGTACATCTCCCACTTCGTCCCACTGCGCCAGAGTAGTCCCCGATCGGTTCGAAGGTCTAGAATCAGCTAGGAATGCGACTGATTCTTAGACAAACATTGGTACTGCTCAAGACAATATTTCGATATGGAGAAGTTGTGCCACGATGGCAAGTTTGTCTCTTGAGATGCCACAGTACGAGGTATACCAGTACCAGTATACTATTAGGTTGGCTAATAAGTAATGGCCGTTTTTTTCAATTGAAAAATTTGTTCGTTTTGCAAGCAAGTTATATATCATCTGATAGGAAACTTCTCGTAGTATAAGAATATCAAAAAAGCTTTGGTTGAGGATATAGTTTTTGTGAATTTTTTAGTCGTTGAAGTTGGAAGTGAAGTCGGCGAAAATTAGCATCTTCGACAACTGCCTCTATTTACGTCTACTCGAAGTGCTAAAATCGCTTAAGCTGCTCCATACATTCGAAAAAGGTTGAGGCTAGAAGTTTCAAGGAATCTTAATAGACCCCTTTGGAACTACATTTAAGAATTTCAAAGTTGGCGCAACCTTCACGCTTGCCAAATACTTGGGCCGGCCTCACGTTGTTCCACTCTGCAAATTTCATGCTAAATAGTTGAATTAATTGAATTGAATTTGATATTCTAATACTACGAGAAGTTTGCTATTAAACGATATTAAGCTTGCTTGCAAAACGTTTTACTTTTGGAACAAATTTTTCAATTGAAAAAACGGCCATTACTTATTAGCCAGCCCACTGCTAGGGGCTGGCTAATAACTGCTAGTGGGCTGGCTAATAATGGCCGTTTTTTCAATTGAAAAATTTGTTTCAAAAGTGAAAAGTTTTGCAAGCAAGCTTAACATCGTTTAATAGCAAACTTCTCGTAGTATTAGAATATCAAATTCAAATTCAATTAATTCAACTATTAGCATGAAATTTCTAAATAGAGGCAGTTGTCGAAGATGCCTTAATTTTGTCGACTTCCACTTTCCAACCCAGACGACATAAAAGAATTTCACAAAACTATATCCTCAACCAAAGCATTTTGTTATTCTGTATTACTACGAGAAGTTTCCTACCAGATGATATATAACTTGCTTGCAAAACTTTTCACTTTTTAGAACAAATTTTTCAATTGAAGAAAACGGCCATTACTTATTAGCCAACCTAATATTAGGTTGTTCGAAAAGTCCTGCGACACTTTGACCAAATTTTTCGATTTCTGTCACCTAAAAGACATCTCCAATCCACAAGGTAACCATAGTTGATGACTAGGACTAGTGCCCTTCTTTTGCACAGCTTCTCATTTCCATTCTCATAGAACTACGGCAACTGTGATAAAAAGAAGAGGTGGACCTCATTCTCGAGTTGAGGTCGATTTTCGGGCTTTTTGCTCTTCAAAGGATGCAATAGGACCAAAAGAGTGATAATTTAGAGAGCCGCTTACCTCTACTGAACACTGATACCTGAACGGTCCATTCTCTGGATCAAAAAATTCATTTTTTTGACTCAGGCCTGATTCCGACATGCGGTCATTCGGTAGCTTGTCCAGAGGGTCC